GCTTAAAATGAAGACACCACATCTCATCCCTTGACAAGCCTGAAATGGGTATCCCCATGTCTGGTTATACTTATCCATCGCAAGTCATGTATCCCTCTTATGGAGCTTTCCCAGTTATTAACTCAACAAGGTTTGAAGATACATTTGTAAACACAGAGTTCGATCATAAGCGCATTATAAACGCACTGGCCGGCGATGACAACATCATCCAGAATGGTATAAATCTTGTATCAATCACAGATGGATTAGATTCAGTAGAAGAAAGGAGGAAGGCAGGTAAGACATCAGAAGCAGTTTTGCAGGTCATGCCAGGGAAAGTGGAGGAACTGATTAAGAAAATGAATGGATCAGATAGTGAGAAGCTCTCTTGTGTGATAGCTGATCAGAGCATTAGTTGGGCCTTGGAAATTGCAGAGAAACATAGAATCAAGAGAGCTGCTTTCTGTCCTGCTGCAGCTGCATCACTGGTCTTGACTTTCAGCATTCAGAAATTGATTGATGATGGAATTATTGATGATGATGGTGAGTAATTAGTATTCACCCATTTGAAAATCTCACTACCCATATGATGAAATTTCCAAAAAGTGTTAAACTTAATTTTGATTTCTTGACAGGAACTCCTACTGGAAACCAAATTTTCAAGTTGTCTCCAACAATGCCTGCCATGAACACGGAACAGTTAATGTGGGCAAGCTTTGGGAGCAAAGAAGTTCAGAAAAATATATTTAAGCTTATTAACAACAACAATAGATCAGTTCAATTGACAGAATGGCTGCTATGTAACACAACATATGACCTTGAACCTGGTGCATTAGTTTTGTATCCAAAAATTCTACCCATAGGTCCATTACCAGCGAGAATCAGACACCATGATTCGGCTGCAAACTTCTGGGCAGAAGATTCAGCCTGTTTAGACTGGCTGGACCAGCAGCAGCCGCAGTCTGTCATATACATTGCATTTGGTAGTATCACAATTTTGAACCCAATCCAGATCAAGGAACTGGCCCTGGGACTTGAGCTCATCAACAGACCATTCTTGTGGGCTCTGGGTCCTAATAATAGATGTCCTGAAGGATTTGAAGACAGACTAAGCATCCATGGCAAGTTAGTCTGTTGGGCACCACAACAGAAGGTCCTTAGTCATCCTTCTATTGCTTGCTTTGTCAGCCATTGTGGGTGGAACTCCACCATTGAAGGTGTCAGTAACGGAGTCCCAATTCTTTGCTGGCCTCACTTTGCTGACCAGTTCATCAATCATGCTTACATTTGTGATATTTGGAAGACTGGACTGGGTGTTAAGAGAGATGAGAAAGAGATCATTACAAGATTAGAAATTAGAAACAAAGTGGACCAAATTCTGGGGAATGAAGAGTACAAAGAAAGGGCATTGAAGCTCAAAGAAATGGTAATGAGTAGCATCAAAGAAGGAGGTGGGTCTTACAACAACTTTGAGAATTTTGTCAAATGGCTCAAGGAATAGATAAGTGTACATCTCAATTTGCTGCTACTACTTCTCTGCGTTTCACTTTTTATGCTCCAGGCCTTGTATCTTTTCAAGGAAATAAAAGCTCATGAGTGAAGGAGCTACATTGTTAATCTGAGGTGTTTCCCCTTAAATGCAACAAATTATATTTTAATTATATATAATAAAATGCTAAAAAAATTGAATGAGATTTAAACCGATCCTAAGAAACTAAAAGAAAAAAGATAAGAATTATAAAGATGCTATTCCCAAGAACTATT